GATGGGGCACATTGGAGGCAGTATTGTGCTGGAGGGGTAGAAGTGGAGGCATTGGTGTGCTGCAGGGTTGAAGGGGGGTGTCAGTGGACGCATTGTTTTACTGAGGGGGGCATTTATGGCATTGGTGTGCTGTGGGGGCATTGATGTGCGGGGGGGAGGCTTGGAGGCCTCAGTATGCTGGAGGAGGGCATAGGAGGCAGAGGTGTGCTGGGGAGAGGGCATTAATTAAAGGCAGAGGTGTGCTGGGGGTCTTTGAATGCAGAAGTAAGCCAGGGGAGGAGAATTAAAGGCAGAGTTGTGCTGGGGGTCATTGGTGGTAGAGGAGGGCAGGGGGGTACAGAGGTATACTAGGGTACAGATGTATGCTGGAGGCACATTAGTGGCAGAGACTATGGAGGTACATTAGTGGCAGAGACAAGTGGGTGTTTCAACAAAATGTTGCCATTGGTAATCCCACCCTGAGAAATGCCCATTGCAGCAGTACTTGAATGTAGGTACAAAGAAGCTGTAAAAAGGCTGAGGCTTATCAGCAGCATTTTAATGTAACAAAAGATGAAAAAAAAACAACAGTACTGTCATTTATTTTTAAAAAGTGGCAATTGTTTATGATTCACAGTGCTCTAACAGGTGTAATACAGCTGTTTATAAGTGCAATAACACTTAAAGAAAGATTGGATGACTGGAGCAACATGAACACTTAACAAGTAAAATCCTCCTTATTCCCATATTTTTTTATATTTATATCCAGCCTGTTTGGGTTTTTTTTTTTTCAACAGAAAAGAAACTTCTTGAGCGCCAGATCATGGAAGCAGAGAACACTGCATCCTTACAGCTAGGTGAGACATTCTGATGCTTGAGGCATTTTATGTTCTTGGACAACAGAACACAAACAGCATCTGAAACATTAGGATTTCATTTTATCACAATACAGAACTATACATTTTCACTTAAATATTGTCATAAAAACACCCAAATGGCCCAAAATCCATTTTTGTAATATTATTCTTGCTGCATCAGAAATGTGGATTTGTAGTGTAGAGGCTATGCCACTTACTTGTGCCATTTATATGTAGTTTTTTGCCATTTTGCTTGGTGAAGGCTCTACAAAACTCATGTATGCTACCTACAATGTCATGTATCAAACAGAATAGAAAACGGATAGGACTCCTAAGGTTTTCTTCCTATCAATTTTCTTTTCTGTTTAATACATGGTTGCTTATCGGAGACACCCCCAGATTATTTGGGTTGCTGGATTAGAGCACACTGGAGTAGCTCCCTGGTATCTGCATTTTGTGTATACCCACAGTGTCACCCTACTAGCTACACTCACCCAAAATGTATCCTTAATTATGGGAGATGATGATGAACCTAACCTAATTCCCACAGTTTAATCTCTTTTCCTCAATTGCAGGCTTTCTTTCCTCATTTCAGTGTCTCCATTCGCTTTTTGTAACATAAATTAACTGAAAAATTAAAAAGTAAAGTATGTGTGTTTATGCACATCTATACTTCAGTGTGCTTTTCTAACCTGTATCTGGATTTTTGAAATAGGGGTGCAGAAGGAAAAAGAAAATCACATGCCTATGACAATACAAGATCAAGACATTGCTGATACAGAGATTGAAGTAGAAGGTCACATGCTAGTTTTGGAAGAAATTGTTCAGGTAACTGCAGTTGCGAGTTGGAATGATGAGGATATTGGCTCAGTAACAACTATAGCATAGATTTCAGAAGTCAAAAAATCTTTAGTGAACTAAACTCGCAATTTTTATAAATTAAAATAAATGCAGACTGTTTAAACATAAGTAGAATGTACCTTCTATCTATCTCTTCCTTTATTCTTCAATTTTCAGACTTTCTGTTCTAGGGTGACTACATTTGTCCTTTTGTCACCCAGTGGTGTATTTAGGTTGTGTGCTGCCCTATACAACACAAAAATTGGCGCCCCTTTCTTACCGCAGAAAGAGCCTGACATTGACCAAGAGCACCCCTGCCCTCCACCTGAGCCTTCCACTACTACTGCTCCCCATACACCAGCCACCATCCCCCATGGCGAGAGAGAGAAAGACACTCACCTTCACAGCTCCAGACATCCCCAGGAACGAGAGTCGGGCTGTGCATACATCATCATGAAACCCACAGAATCTCTCGGAACCCATCAGGTCCCCATGCCGTGCGTGTCCCTTCTTCTGTCCCTTCTTCCAAGGGGCAGTTCTGCCCCCCCTGAAGAATGCCGCCCTAGGCAAATGCTGTGTTAGCCTTGTGGTAAATACACCCCTGAAGTCACCCTCTCTTGCTTGCCCCTTAGATGGACTACACTACACATTTACCTGCATTTAGCTGTATAGGAATTGCAGTACGCTTGGAGCGGTGCAAGTGATCGAAAATAACAGCACTGCTTGCTCTACACTAGTAGTGGTGAGGTGCTTCAGTGGAGGATAGGGAGCTTGCAAAGGACATAGAATCCTGAAAACAATAGTAAGACTCTTTAAACAAACAAGAAAAAACAGCCATAGTATGCTTGGTATGGCTTTTCTGAGTGAAATCTAAACTTATCAAGGCATAAGCAATTTAGTAGGCCTCAGGCAAAGATCTTATAAATGTGTCACCATGGGAAGACTGGAGACTTTCGTTCTGGAAAGCAAACAAAACCAACTGGCCCTTTTATGGTAGAGACACTTTACTTTGGGCTAAAAGTGGCACTGTGAAAGGTGGGTGTTGACTTAAAAAACTTGGTTTGTGGTAATACCTTTTTTATATATACACTATATTGCCAAAAGTATTGGGGCGCCTGCCTTTACACGCACATGAACTTTAATGGCTTCCCTGTCTTAGTCCATAGGGTTCAATATTGAGTTGGCCCACCCTTTGCAGCTATAACAGCTTCAGCTGTTCTGTGAAGTCGTTCCACAAGGTTTAGGAGTGTGTCTATGGGAATGTTTGACCATTCTTCCAGAAGTGCATTTGTGAGGTCAGGCACTGATGTCGGACGAAAAAGGCCTGGCTCGGAGTCTCTGCTCTCATTCATCCCAAAGGTATTCTATCAGGTTGAGATCAGGACTCTGTGCAGGCCAGTCAAGTTCCTCCATCCCAAATGCGCTCAACCATGTCTTTATGGACTTTGCTTTGTGCACTGAAATATACCCCACACCATAATCCCCCCTCCACCAAACTTTACACTTGGCACAATGCAATCAGACAAGTACCATTCTCCTGGCAATCACCAAACCTAGACAAGTCCATTGGATTGTCAGACAGAGAAGCATGATTCATCATTGCAGAGAACACATCTCCACTGCTCTAGAGTCCAGTGGCAGCGTGCTTTACACCTCTGCATTCGGCACCTTACGTGGCCTACCACTTCATGGCCTAGCTGCTGTTGTTCCCAGTTTGCTTTCATCTTGTTATAAAACCATTAACAGTTGACCGTGGAATATTTAGTAGTAAGGAAATTTCATAGATGGACTTATTGTACGGGTGGCAACCTATCACGGTACCACACTTGAATTCACTGAGTTCTTGAGAGCGACCCATTCTTTCACAAATGTCTGTAGAAGTCTGCATGCCTAGGTGCTTGATTTTATACAAATGTGGTCATGGAGGTGATTTGAACACCTGGATCCAATGATTTTGAGGGGTGTCCCAAAACACTTGGCAATATAGTGTAAATAAATATATATATATATATATATATATATATATATACTTAATCAATTCTAAACAATGAAGTACTTTGTAAGTTAACCATGGGTTGCAGGAAAGAATTTCGATTTCCCCATAATCACAGTCAGTGGAGCCATTGTGTTCTCCCGGCAGTGGAGCCATTGTGTTTCTCCCGGCAGTGGGAGCCGTCTCCGCTGGGAGAACACAGGGATTGCTGTTAGCGGCTTTAACAGTTGCTAGCAATAGTAACATGTGAAATCCAACAGGCTGGTTGTCTCCAAGTAGATTGATCGATCAACTTGGGTACAACCAGCTTGTTGGATATGCATGAAATTATTGCTAGCAGCTATTATCGATCAATCGAGCTGGGTATATTTAGCATGCCTATTTGTGGTTTGAATCTTGGCCTGTCCCTGCTGAAGTGGCCAAGATTCGAACTGTCTATGGCTAGCTTTAAACAAGATAACTGCTGCTCAGTGAAAATGATAATGAGCCTAAATCAAACAATGAATAAAATACCAGACTATTATGATTGATGATCCAATCCTTATTTAGCTTCCTTGAACAAGTGATAACAACACCTGCCCCCAGTCCTCCACTTTGTATCACCCTATAAAAGCTTTATTTTACAAGAACATTTAAGTTTAAGTTTGAGGATATAATATATTGTTAGTGCAAAGTGATTTCTGACATTTATTTAATTACAATGACAGTAAGTTCTTATTGTCTTAGGTTCCTAAAGGACAATTGCTGTGAAACAAGACATGTCATTTCATCCTGGGATGCTGGCCAAAATAAAAACAGTTAAAAAACCCCCCGTTTTTCTATCTTAGTTACCATGGGTTGATGGTGGTCCCAGAGAAAATATCCTTTATACCCTTTAATAGCCTTTATTAAATGACCCTAAATCAGAGATGTGACCCTCTTAATTTCTTACTTTGCATCAGAAATGTTGTCAGATATGCTTTAGCATTAGCTAGTGATCACCATTCTTACTATAACCTCCTGCACCTGATGAAGGAATTTGGTGATCTTTTATGATGATGTGATTGTGAGAATGCATCATAATATTGCTAAGTCCATCCAATGTAGAAGCCCCTGCACATTAATGATGTGTCTCAGAGCAACACTAACAGTACCTGTTTTATACATTGGGTTCATTATTGATCACAGGAGTGATTCATTCTGCACTCCCCTGTTGGCTGACGTCACTTTCAAGTCAGGATCCACCCAGATGCCAGGACCTGCAGCTGGCTCAGAGTCTCAGCACGCTGCTGAGGGCCTGAAGCAACTGCTCCTGTCCCCTTCGCAGCCTAGCGCTCCAGTGAGTGCTGGAGGGGCAGGACAGAGATCTGGTGACTGACAGCTCACTGAAGACCAAGAACCGAGCAAGTGACAGGAAACAGATGCAGAATCGAACCGATGCTGCATCCACAAAGGTAAGTATGCCCATTTGTTTTTTCACATTCCTGAACTTCTCTTTTAAAGACTGGGAATGTTAGGATACCAGGAAGGAACACAGTTATCAAAATAAAAAGTTCTGCACAGAAAGCAGCCTACTAATACTGCTTAATACTGTTATATATACGTATGTTTGCCTGGTTGATAATACCTTTATGCAGATAACTGAAAAGGTGACTGTAGAATAAAATATGTAAATGCAGCATGTTAACTACTATAACTACTGTACCTTTTTTGTATTTAAATAGGCATTAAACTTCATCCACCTAATGAAAATACAATATATACAGTTAGTTGTAAAGTGGACAGGCTCAACTGGCAAGGACAGCAGTAAACCATGCAAAAAGACAGGGACACCCAACAACAATCTAAGCAGTTTTGTCCTGCACTTTTATGAAGCAAAACAGCAAACAGTTTAAATGCAGAAGGGCTTTGTACAGCATGTCCATAGCATAAAACAAGCAATAATCTGCTAATCTGAACTAAACTCAAATCAGTTCCTGACAACAGGGTGTCCCCTTATGGGCTTCTCAACACAAACAGGCAGCAAATGTACTATACATTTTTAGGCCTCATGCACACTGGACATTTTCAATCCGGGTCTTTTTGTTCTGCCTCTAAATGCCCCTCCATGTTAGCCAGGCGTTTTGAGGAGTTTTATAACCAGAAAATCCCCACCACCACCGTGTCCAGGAGAAGCAGCATTCTGGCAGCGGGAGAACCCAAAGAATTAATCAGCCTACATATGTAAGGCCCTGTGCACAGCTGAGACTAATAATAAGGTCTGGCTAGCTGGTAAGATGTGGACCTAGGACTGGAGGCTCATTCCCACCCAAAGTTCTACAAAGCCCCCAGGTTGTAAGACCCAGGATAGAACCTCTAAAAATTAACAACAAATGTGTTTTCTCTCCATCATCCATAAACCCTTGGGCCACTTATTATGTGTAGGTGAGAAACCTAGGTGACACAGGTCCACAGTCCTGTCAGCCAGTGCCGCACTAAATGTATACTCTATATTTTTTGATGCAAATTTATGTTGTGAAATTTATTTTTGCCCAGCTTTGTATTTGACATCAATGTACTTTCATTTACAGCATCATTACACTAATAGAACATGTAGTGATAGTAACAAATAAACAGTAAACAAGAAGGTGGCATTTTCAGGGATAAAACCTGCTCCAGCTGCAACACATGCCATTATTAAATAACTACAGTTCAGCTTTAACGTATTGACGTATAAGGCATGTCTACAGCTTCCTTCCCAGAATTATCAACATCTAAATCTATTTTGTGTTGTCAGACTGCCCTCTCATGGCAAGTCCTTGAAGAAGTCAAAACTTATGTGTCTAAGCTTCATGATACTGATGTGCACCAGAGAATGTATTACTACGACAGGAGACATCGACTGGAGCCATTGGTGGAAATATTGAACAGAGGATTCTCTCCAGAAGGTTTGTAAAGAAGAAGGCAGCTTATTTAGAGCAAATAAATCATGGACTCCCTAGCTAACGCTAACGTATAATGTAGAATAGGGTTGGTATAGGTGCAGTCCAGGTTTGGAATAAGTGTGTTATTAGATGCAGTATGGGTGTGTTTGGGATTAGGTACACCTGGTGCCCTGCTCTGAGTGGCTCAGTCCCTACTAGCAGTATCAGCATTGGACAAATAGTTGCAGTGACTTGCTGTAGAAGGTAGTCTCTGGTAATCAGCGAAGGGAAGCAGAGAGTGAGTAGGTGCTCCAGTTTCCTTGCGACAGCATTGCAGGTGCTGTGATGTGGACAATGCTTCACTGCCTTTGGGTGTCCTCACTCCCAGTCTCAGGTTTGGATCACCATTGGCATGGTCTCCAGCTGGCAAACAAATATTCAGAAAGAGGTGATCTCTCTCTTTGTAACTCTCTCAGTTTTTTGTAGTTTTGTGCTAGAAAAGCATCCCAATCCACAAAGAGACATCCTGTCTCTTTGTGGATTGGGATGTCTCTCTGCTGGATGGGGATGTCTCTTTGCTATATGGGGATGTCTCTTTGCTGGAGATAAAATACAGTGCCCCTTTACAGTGCAGCCCCCTTTATATTACAGTGCGGAAGACCGACTCTGTGAATATGCCATCACCAACTGCCTCCGTGAATGCCCTTGTACACCCCTGCTCCCCCCCAGGATATTGACTGTTCAGTCTAAAATGCTGGGCCTATTTTTTGTCCCAGTCCAGGCCTGCTTATGGTTCTGAGGTGAATTCCTTTTTCAGGCACATTACATTCAAGAGCAAAGAACACATATTCAGCTGTTTATGTGAAAGATATTGTGTTTACAAGCTATGTTTGTTTTAGGTTATTTAGAATTCCCCTCCAGATTTCTGGAAATTCCCTCTGTGTGTATTTCCTGTTAACACTTCTTGGGTTTGTAATCTGTAATTTTTAGATTTCATCTGCAGTACCACTTGCTGGTATAATATGGTGTGGTGTGTTGCAGCATACCTTTAAAATATGATTATGTGAATTATTGTATTTTAATGGTCAGATTTTATTCCTCCAAACACTGGAGTCTAAAGTCGGCCATTGATGGAGCAATTTTCTTTCGCAGGAAAGAACATTGCTAGGTTTCCCCATCAACACCTACTGCGGAGCCATTGTGTTCTGCCGGCGGGACAGCTAGCAATAATCGCATGTAAAATACAACAGGCTGGTTGTACTCAAGTACTGTACATTCAGCCTGCCCATACATAATTCTAGTCTTGACTGGTGCCTGCTGAACTGGTCGAGATTCGAACTGTCTATGGCCAGCTTTACAGTTACAAGAAAACTCTGGAAGGTGAAGTCCCCTGTGTTACCGCAGAAAAAGGCCCCATTGTTCTTGCTAACCACTTTTCTGTGCATGGGATTTCCATTATGCTTAGTAATCACCTTCTTTGCTCTTTTAGGATGTGTAATTCACTTTTATAAATTGCTTTCTCTTCTAGATGTCCAGCAAGGAGAATATGGGAATGGAATATACTTCTCAGCCAGTCCTGCAGCAGCTATCAGCATGGTAAGGCAGTGTTTAGAATACAATGTACTGTAGATAAGCCATTCTTAGCCAGGGTTCTATGGAACCCTAGGGTTCTTCCAGAGGTTTTCAGAGGTTTCTTGAGCTGTGGCTGACTGACTTCCCATTTTATGGTGCCTGCATAGTTCCAGGTCCATCTCTACTTGACAAAGCCATCTGCATGACACCAATAATCGTTTTAGGTGTCTGTAAGGGATGCCTTCTGACCACCACTGTGCAGGGGACATTTTTCCAACTGGCGACAACTTTGAGGGGCATTTTTCACATTGTCTCCCAATGTATTGGTTTTATCAAGGTTTCCACAAAACTTGAAAGTTAGTTCAAGGGGTCCTCTGGGGTAAAAAGGTTGAGAAAGGCAGCTATAAATGTTAATCATTATTCTTGCTCACATATGTAAAAGTATTCTAATGCTAAAAACTTCTAAGGAATAAGATGTTGTTGTTGCTTATAGTAGCAAGTCCCATGATCCCTTTTGGCTTTACATAATGTGCTAGAAAAGAATCCAGGTAAGTGATCTGGGCATGGAAGCACAGTAGTGCAATTGTTAGTCTACTAGCAGCACTGTGGTGGACCAAAAAATATATTTCACCAAATGAAAAAGCTGTGAATGAGGTGTTTACTTTGCAGGTAAAAGATAAATGCCTTAACATATAAAACATTTCATATTTTGATGATTAAATTGATGTTATCACATGATAATATTGCTGCTGATGTTGTGGCCTAATGAATCAGGCTTTTTGTGTTATAATAAATTTTGAATGTGATGGTTAAGCCATAGATAATTGCATGTAAAAATCCAGCATGCTGGTTGTACCCAAGTCGATTGATGGATCGACTTGGGTACAATCTAACGCCCCATAGATGGCTTGAATCTCGGCCGGATCAGCAGGGACCATCTAAGGCCAGCCTAATACTCTTGCTTGACAACTTTTATTCTGTTTTCTATGTGTTTGTGGATTGCCTCCTGGTGCTCTGGTTTCCTCCCATTTTACAAAACCTAGCTATAGATTAATAGGTGTCGTATAAGTGTAGGGTAGGGAATAATGTAAACTCCATATGTGCGTATGTTCACTCCGTAAAATGCTGTGTAATATGTCTGTGCTTTACAAATGCAAGAAATAAAAGAAATATATATATAGGCAATGCATAAAAATATACTGTAGGAGTCTGTATATAATACATATATAACTTTTGGTGCCATTAAGACAGGAAGTAAGAGGAAATCTCCTCAACCTGGAGATTTACATCTTGTCCCGCTGGCACCTTTTGTGTCAGAGCCAGTTCACACCGCAGAAACGCACTTCAGATGCACTTCTGCCTACATTTTACACCATACTCCATCCGGTGCATTTTTGATGCGCTTTGCTGTGTTCCGGTACAGCTGTAATGCAGCATGTTCTACTTTTTTTTCTGCATTGGAAACTAGTTGCACTGGTGTGAACTAGAGCCATTGAATTACATGGAAAACAATGCATGCATTGTGATGCAGAAAAAAAATGCACTGAACCAGCCTTCAGAGTATGATAGAGTATTACTGATACAGAAAGCGAGGATAAACCCCCCCACCCAACGGGAAACAAAGTAAAATAAATCCTGGAGAGGTTCTTCCTTCTAAAAGAAAAAACCTTTTTTGCTGTAGTTACGCTTGAAACCCAAAAAAAGCTTTAGATCCCTTTCAGGTCATTGCAGGACAGTTATGCTACAATTCTCTAGACACATCCAAATTAGTTGTTTTCCCTCCCGATAAACTTACTATGGGGCTGAGTTCCTTTGAGTACTATCATACAGCAGTAAAGTGAAACAGTACAACATTGTGATCGTTAGGTTTGTGTATAAGGAGTCTAATGTATCTGGGTCAAAGAAGTTGACATTTGTCATCAAATAATTAGTATGTTTCTGAAATTTCTCATTTATTTAGGGCATAGTATATCTAGTAGCTGCATTCAGCTAGACCTGTTCTATAATGTTGAAGACTTTTCATAGCTTGTCCAAACCACATTTTCAGTTTTTAACTGAAGAAGTGGTTTGGAGAAGCTGTGAAGTGTCTTCAACATTACAGAACAAGTCCAGTAGAGTGTGACTAACTAGTGCCAGAGATATGTTCCTGAATTTCTCTGCCTTTATATATTTGCTTTTGCAACTTGAAAATATTCTTGTTTGACATATAGTTAACTGCCTGGCTGTCTTCTCTGCGAGCTAACAAGCAGAAGTATTCCATTACTTGCCAGGGTTAGAAAATTATCCCTGGGTGCCAGAATAGTACAATAATGAATGGGAGATAGAATCCTTCATCTCTCTCAGCTTTTATAAGCACATGGCAGGGGCGGACTGACCATTTGGAAACTTGGGCACTGCCCAAGGGCCCGGGGTCAGTAGGGGGCCCCATGAGATGCCCCTGGTACCTTTTTCATAGGCTTTTTTGAGTTTGGGCAAGGACACAGGGGCCCCATGATCCCCTCTTGCCTGAGGGCCCCATGAGTTGTCAGTCCGCCCCTGGCACATGGCATAATATTGTATATTGCTTACCAATTAAAAATCCATTATGAAGAAATAAACAAACTGAAGAATAAACCTATGATTACAATTTGATCTATAGGAATCAGCTTTCTGTATTATTCATACATAGTTGTTTACATTTTATTTGTGTAAAATAGCTGTAAAAAATGTGGCCTTGTAAAAAAAGTTTTCTGTTACTCATAGTAATGTGAAATGGCACTTGTTAGATAACATACAGTTGATCTCTATGAGAACTGATGTACACTAAATGAATAGCAAGACTTTAATATCCTAAGCAGTGTAAATAACACTGGGTTAGCAGTCAAGTGTTTTTTTTTCGAGTGGGTTACAATAAGTAGGAACTCCACTACATATTGTTGGATTAAAGAGGACATATGACATTTCCATGTACACTTTATTGTGTCTCTGAAAAAAAAAATGCCTGTAATCAAATAACGTGGTTTACACAATTCCTATAACAGCCTTTTTTGTTTTCCCTGTAGGCCCATCATGTGCTTGTAGCAGATGTGTATATTGGCAGGACTCAGACTGATGCAGTGAAGTCAGCAAGCAGGTATGGAATCCGGAATTAACATAATGGTTTACATTCCCAAGTAGACAGGAAATCAAGTAAACCACCATCTCCACCTTGAGAAATTTAGAGTGAACATGTCATGAAAAAACAGAGATTGCTGTTAATGAAAATGTCATGTCAAAATTAGTATATTCAGAGATATAGGCAGCAGAAATTATATGCATTAAACCTGTAAAAGTCAAGCTTGGTCCCACCTCTCCAGCCTCCTACACCTTCACTTTCTTTAGGTCTAATTTCCCAGACTGGTTCTATGTTTATTTTAAGCAATATTCTTTCTACCTTTCTTAATACATATTCTACAGTTGTGTTCAAAATAATAGCAGTGTGTTGAAAAAAGTGAATAACGCTCAAAATCCTTCTAATAGCTTTTATTTCCATACACACAAATGCATTGGGAACACTACACATTCTATTCCAAATCAAAACATGAAGAAAAATATATCAAATTTGTGTTGTTCCTCTAACAAAAATGGAAGAAAAGTGAATATTAGACTGTTCAAAAAAATAGCAGTGTTTGTATTCTTCTTTACAGACTCAAACATTCACTATATAAACTGAAAAATGTTTGAAGATTTTGCTTTCCTTTGAATCACTTAATGAATATTTGGTTGTATAAGCACTGTTTCTGAGAACTGCTGTACATCTGTGTTGCTTGGAGTCAACCAACTTCTGGCACCTGTGAACAGGTATTCCAGCCCAGGATGATTGGACTACATTCCACAGTTCTTCTCTATTTCTTGGTTTTGCCTCAGAAACTGTATTTTTGATGTCACCCCACAAGTTTTCTATTGGATTAAGATCTGTGGATTGGGCTGGCCACTCCATAATGTCAATCTTCTTGGTCTGGAACCAAGATGTTGCACATTTACTGGTGTGTTTGGGGTCAATGTCTTGTTGGAACACCCATTTTAAGGGCATTTCCTCTTCAGCCTAAGGCAGCATGACCTTTTCAAGTATTCTGATGTATTCAAACTGATCCATGATCCCTGGTATGCGATAAATAGGTCCAACACTGTAGTATGAGAAACATCCCCATATCATGATGCTTGCGCAACCATGCTTCACTGTCTTCACAGTGTACTGTGGCTTGAATTTCAGTGTTTGGGGGTCGTCTGACAAACTGTCTCCGGCCACTAGACCCAAAAAGAACAATCTTACTTTCATCAGTCCACAAAATGTTGTGCCATTTCTCTTTAGGCCAGTCAATGTGCTCTTTGGCAAATTGTAACCTCTTCAGCACATGTCTTTTTTTCAACAGTGGGACTTTGCGGGGGCTTCTTGCAGATAGCTTGGCTTCACATAGGCGTCTTCTGATTGTAACAGTACTCACAGGGAACTTTACACCTTCTTTGATCTTCCTGGAGCTGATTGTTGGTTGAGTCTTTGCTATTTTGGCTATTCTTCTATCCATTCGAATGGTAGTATTTTTTGCTTTCTTCCACGTCTGTCAGGTTTTGGTTGCCATTTTAAAGCATTTGCGATCATTTTAGCTGAGCAGCCTATCATTTTCTGCACTTCTTTATATCAATCAACTTTTTAATCAAGGTACGCTGTTCTTCTGAACAATGTCTGGAACGACCCATTTTCCTCAGAATTTCAGAGAGAAATGCACTGTAACCAGCATGTACAACATTTGCTGCCTTCCTTCCTTAAATAAGGGCAATAATTGCCACCTGTTTTTCAAAGAATGAATGACCTCACTAATAGAACTCCACACTGCTATTATTTTGAACATGCCCCTTTCAATTAGTGATTCAATTACACAGAATCAGCAGCATGCATGTCATGACTGTTGGGTCTGTTGGATTTCTATTACTCTACTACACCTGCTAGTAATTTATTTTCCATGTAGAAATATAATTTCTACCAAAAACAGTGATTGATCAGGTTAGTGATGTCTGACTGCTTTTATTTTGAACACAGCTGTAAATCTTTCTAAATACAGTAAATTCTGAATGGCCAAGTGATCTTTGCTTCACTCAAACCCGATAATTCAGTTTTCTGTCATTGCTGGCTAGTCAAATCATTTGCTGACCATTTTCTCTGAGCCTTCAGTATTAGAACCCCTTCATTAGAGTTCTGAGTTTTCCCCCATCACTATGTTCAATGCAAGCAGGCTGATGATGTTTTGGTGTCTTCAGCCTTAAACGAAGTATAGAAACACAAACTACCTATTAGCCTTCAAAAATCTTGGGTCCCCAATGGACAGATTTCCATTGGGTCCCATGAGTTTTGAAAGGCTAATAGGTAAGTCAACCCACTACCTTATCCAAAACTGATATTTCATTTTAGTCTGTAAATGCTACCAGTATTGTCAGTTCCAGTATCTGCTTCCCAGAACAAAACATATCATAATTTTGTTAAAAAGTGAAAAACATCACATGTATAAAATTTCTGAACACACTGTGGGGGCTTACAGAGGCCTCAAATTATATGAGAATAGGGTTTGGAGACTCCTAGTTGCCTTGTGTGGATGAAAGGGTTGCTGCAGCCTGGACCATCATCATCCCCTGCACCCATGGTGATTCTGCTGTGAGTGGAAAAGATGCAGAGATCTCTGATGCAGCATTGGAGGGAAGGTAACTTTAAATGTGCATACTGCAAAATACAGTATGGCTTTACTAATATAGGTAATAGTTAGGTTTGTCATGCTCTGAATAAACTTGCAAGTTAATTTTTTTATAATTGAAGCCAATTATTGCATCTTGTTATTTTTCAGGACATCACCACCAATTGGATTTGATTCCATTCAGGTGAGCTCCTACAATCTTTTCATCTTTCATATTTTCAGTCATCACTTGCTACATGTTGTGTGAATGTGTATATAAAGCCATTTTTTTTTCTTTTAGTAGGAAATTAATGGTATACCTATGTGAATGTTAACTTCAGTGCCAGGACATCATCATCAAGAGCCGAGGGAAAACATGCCAAACTGCTCCCTCCCCCCCTGCAAGATGTATGAGCATTATGTGTCAGCAAAATCCCCTCCCCCCGAAAAAAAAAAAACCCCTAAGCATAAATCCCCCTTCTCCCAGTGCAATCTTTCCCCTGTTATACTCCCCCCCCCCCCCCCCAGCACAAATCTTCACCCCCATCCCCCCAGCTCAAATCCTCCTGGCACAAATGCTCTACCCCTCAGATTCCCCTCCAAGCACAAATCATCTCCCCCCCCCCCCACTCCATATCTCCCACCTCCCAGCACAAATTCCTTCCCCAATTCCTCATCCTAGCCATATCCCTCCTCAAAATTCCCCTCCCAGCACAAATTAACCCCTGTCATCCCTACTAGCAAAATCCCCTTCCCTCTCTACCATACCACCTTTACTATAAACACCCCTCCAAATCCCCCCTCTTGCGCAAATCCTCTTCCCTCCTCCCAACACAAATTCCCCTAAATCACTCCTAATACCCCTCCCCCCAAATTTCCCTTTTGTTGCTCCCAAATTCCCCATCCCAATAAAAATCCCATCACCCCCAAACTTCTCATGATGTCCCCCACATCACATAATACCACAGGGCCCAGGGCAGTTGACCCTCCTGCCCACCCCTTGTTCCAGCCTTGGTTAACTTGCTCTTATTGAAGTGGTAGACTACTGCTCACAAGTACTTGTTACCAAACGGTATACACTGAAGTATTTGTTTTGTACCTGCTTTAAGGCTGCCATAGACACCTGTAACCACAGTATTATATCATTAAAAAAACAAAGAATGCATAAAAAAGTCCGGTTTAAATCAGGTAACATTTGCTCCCTTTCAAGAGATTCCCTGTACTCCCAGTAAGGACACGGACAACATTAAAGTAGCTAATTGATTAAGATGGGGTGTATTGTATCTCTCAGAATCACTCTTGGTATAACCCGAGTATCATCCTGTAAATATATAGTACCTACTAAACACACCTGCTGTGGGTCTTTAAGTTATACTACTGGTAACCACATATGATATGTAAAGAGATGACTTATGAACTTCTGTCAATGGTTTTATTTTCTGTTTTAGAGATTACTCTATTTCTGTAAAACTTGCTATACGCTACAGTCTCTTTGTTGGTCCTGAAGAAGCGGGATAAGCCCACAATATACATTGACCTGTTTCAAGGATATAGATGTATTTCTTTCCATTAAAATTATTTTATTTATAAATATGTTGGACCATTCATGTTTTTAAGTAAATTTGTAATAAAGTTTGATTGTTTAATATTTTGGTCTCTTTACATATGACCTGTGGATATCAGTAGTATAAAAGTCCCACATCAGGTGTGTTTAGTAGTTACTACAGACAACATTAAAAACTTGACAAAATGTCTTACCCCTACTCTCTCTCTACTCTCCTAAAACTAGTAAAAATGCCTTTTCATACACTTCAAGGAAAATCAGTCAGGCTAAGCCACAGGTCTATATAATTAACCGATAACCAGCTAATAAAATGTACATACTAATTACGGTACCTCCTTCCTCTTCTATGTGCCTTGGGTTATGCCATTTTAGTAGCATGATTTTATTTTTAAATTAGTTGAAGACTACATGTCCATTCTGAGCCCTTCTCTTTTTTCTGTGTCCTAGATTCCAGGAAGGCGGTCTACAGAGTTTGTGATTTTTAGTCACTTGCAGGTACCCCTAATTTACTCTTTCTTATAGTACAATATGGATGCCCTAACACAAATCAGGACACTGGTCTGGCTGTTAGAGCTAGTTCTGTTTTTTATGGATATTAAATAAAGTCCCAACTGTATAATCATGAAGCAGTAGTGACTACAAATACAGGAAAAATCCACATGGGAGGAAAAAATAAACCAGATGTAAAACGTACTTACGTATTAGTAGAGATGATGCTCCAAAGCTGATAATGTGGCGTGGTAGTGGCTCAGGACAATGAGTACATATGGCCATCGGCCTGTGGTAACAGCCAGTGCAGGATGGAAATCAGGGATGTATGGATGGATGAATCAGAGAGTTCCGCAGGTAAGGCATATCAGATCAATGAAGAATCCTCAGCAATGTGTAGAAGACACAAGGTAGCCAAAGCACAGGAGTTAGGGCTCGTTCACACCATGGTGCAGACATCATTTTTTCTGCACGCTTTCTGCAAGGGCACAACAAAATCAATTGTTGTCTGTGTGCCCTGTTCACACCATAACACTGGTATCACGTGCAGATTTTTTCTGAGCAGGAACTGCAATGTGTATAAAACTCATTTACGGAGCATGAAAACTGATGTAAACTAATGTCTCTGGCATGTGAAATCTGCGCGTCAGTTTCCAACAGTTTTTCTGCAAGTATGGTGTGAACGAGGCCTTAGTGAAAGCATTGTAACATTTATTAGAAAACAAATATCCAGACTTACATTAAGGTAAAGGAGGTGCTGCTTAAACATGGAAGGAAACCGTGTATGTATAGATGGAGTACAGGGCCTGCAGAGCGGCAGCAGCTGTCACATACATGGGGCCGGATCCAAAGGTGGGGCCTCTGAAATGTGTTGTACATGCCCCTTTCCACTTCCCGGTGCTTGTCCAGTTCATTGAGGATGGCTGTAGACATTGACACTGCTCTATCTCCCTGGCAGGTCCAGCTCCATGTATGTGACAGCTGCTGCTGAGACTCAGTACTCCATCTACTCACACACTGTTTCCCTCCATGTTCAAGCAGCACCTCCCTTACCTTAATGTAAGTGTGGATATTTGTTTTCTAATAAATGTTACAATGTTTTCACTAACTCCTGGTTTTATGGAACTTGTTATATAGCCAAAGTCATCTGCACCCCTTGGCTGGTGAGATGGCAGGCAGATCTAGACAACTTGTTCTGTCAATGCAGTCCAAGAGTTTCTTTGCAAGGGATTGCAGAAGGCTGAAAGTGAGACAATTCAGATGCTTTCATTGGCGGCATGTCAATAAATGTAATAACTGTTAAAAATGATTTTATAACTGCATTGACTGCTGTTTTAATGTCATCAGAAAGTCAAGATTAAAAGTAAACATGCCATTCACAGGAATTGGAGATTTAAGTAAGGCAGACTGGAGCAAATAGAAACAAAAGGTTGATTTATTAAAAGCAAATAGGCTGTTCTCTTTGCAAGAGAAGTTGCACTTTGATAGGGAATTTGCCCTAGACTTTAGTGAATGTGGTGAAATTTTACTTTGAAAAGAATACCCAATCACATGCAATGAAAAAAAGAAAAAACTGTGTTTTTACTTGAACTTGATTGGATAATGGAAGTCAGCAAAGCTTCACACCATTTCCCAAGCCCTGGGGAGAATTCTCTTGTGAAGTACAACTTCCCTTGCAAAAGTGAAGTCTTTTTGCCTTTAGTAAATCAACCCCAAAGTGTTCTGTTAAATGTTGTTCATGCTTGTGTGTAGTATGATTGCTTATAAAGATATGCATGGAATAACACTGAATGTGATGCTTATTTTCAGGCCATTCCAGTCTGTTTACTGAAGTACACTGAGAGGGAATCTTCGACAGCAAATACAGTTGTATCCAAGTAATAAGATACTGGCAGGTTTCCATACTATAGGAGCCTTATCTGTTAGTTTATTTGTTCAATGTTTCCTATAAAATGTTGGTTGTTTCTCGTGCCAAACTAAAACCCAGTTTTTGCTTTTGTTAGGCTGCCATGATCGTTTGTTTTTTTTAAATGTATGTGTTGCTGTTTAGGACATGTGATGTTCAGTCAAGCATACAATGTACTATCTTGAGGATTATAGTAGATGATAGCATATGTCATTTACTTATTGATTAATAAAAACAAGATGGATTGCTCATGGCTAAGTTATTATATTAAGTGAGGGCATAGAACATAAGTGCCCAGTTTGTAAAGGAAAAGGCCATACAAGAATCCTTGCGGTAGCTCAGTAGGCTTTGATAGATGTCTGGAAATCATATAAATTACACACACAGACACGATTGTATATACATTAAAGAAAACAGTGGCTTTCTACCTTAGATTTTTTAAAGCACTTAGTAAATTCTGTTCTCCTGCTCTATAAATGTATCTATGCATATAGGGGTCATCATAGGAAATTTTCCAAGACTTTGGATCTGTGCCTCAACACAGCCTCTACCAAAGCCTCATTGGATCTGGGTTATATTTTCTGTTATTAAGAGTGCCTAGAGTACCCTGGATGGGAGGTGGGTCTACGTAAACTTCTAGTCTAGACTGCATATACTATTAGGCCTGCTCTGATGTGAGCATTTTATTTCCCAGGCAGTGCAGATCATTCCTCTTGCTGTACTTTTCTCTGCTTCCGATTGAGTGCATTTGGATGATGTTTGGTTTTTTTTTGTTTTTTAGTTTTGTTTATGAAGAAGTTTGTTTTATGGCTTTTATGTAGCCTGTGAGCCTGGGTATGCCTAATAGGCTCTGTTTTGTACACTTTCTCTTCAACGAAACCTATAAAAAGAATTTTGAAAAAAAAGAAAACAGTGGCTTATTTACAGTCCCTGCATATTTTTTTCAGTACGATGTATGCAGCCATACAAGACCTCAAAGTATTAGTAAAGGATACCTACTATTTTTATATGAACAAATACTGTAAATCTATACTACCATATATTATCATTCACTCTAACAAATAAGGTATGACATGTAGTTCCTACTCTAATCTATAGAAAGATCAGTCCTTATTTTGTAAACTGGTCACCATCATGCTTTCAGGAGCCCAAGCAAGGCAACAATCAGTGCATGGATCATATGTCACTTTTTTTAAAAGTAAAGTTAAATTCAGCAGAATATTATTATTATACAGTATTTATAAAGCGCCAATAGTTCGCTCAGCGCTGTACATTACAAATATTGTATTATATTGTATATATTATTGTATTATATTGTAATATCGAATATGAAAGCTTATTATTACCAGTTTGATTTCACATGTGCTGAAATGAAATTAATCCCAAATGCTTCTTTACTGAATCCCAGTAAATCATGAATGTTTTGTCCATATGTCCCTCTTTAACTCTAATGAAACCTGCCTGTAGCCTTTGCAGATGTTTATATAACTGCTTTCTTATTGCAGATGTACAGCAGACAGTTCCAATAGATAGAGTAACACACTGATTATGCCCATGGGTGTGATGTGGAGAAATCTGCCAAATGTACAATGCAGGTGTTCACAAATTGCCATATAGTGTAAACTGTTCCTGGCAGATGTTTTTATGCTTGAAGATAATCCATTGTTATAGGAATACACACTACAAGGCAGATGTTTTAAGAACCACAATTCACTTGCATTAGTATCCAATAACTGCATACATTTAAAATCCTGCCAAGTGTATAGTCAGGAGTATCACAGTCTTCAGTATACTGGCGAAGAAAACTATGTGGCCAGCTCTTTCCAGTAAATTCTTTTATATACAATATGTGAAAATCCACTTCTTGGAGTAGACAGTGCAGTATCATTTTCCTTCAGGGCATCATTATCCACTTCTTATAGAAGCAGTGAAAGTTTGATATACAGTACATGTGTATAATCCACTATACAGCAGATTCACTAATTTAGTTTCAATTATTCAGCTCAATTTGGCCATAACTATTTAGGAAACATAGAAATCAGATAATAAATGTGTTGGGTATATGAATCTCCTGCAGCATAAATATTAGTGTTCTGCCAATATGATCCTACATACAGTCAAAACAGTAAAAAGGGCTGTTTTCAATGCCGTGTGTTCAAAGTGTAGCTAAACCCAAGGACAAAAATGTTATACATTGCAGCTTAGCTGTCATTAGATGTGGTGACTGTTAGTTTTCTTTTTTAAGATTTGTTTTTTCTCTTTATTTTTTACCTGATGATTCTGCAAGCACCACACTGTATGTCCTGGTTGACAACTCTTCCACAATATATTGTACTTATAGAGCTGCAAAGTTGTCACCCTAAGCTGCTTGTTCCTTATTGGAACTGCAGAAAACCTCCCTATCTCCTCTTCTCCATAAAATAAGGGAAGAAGTGTTCTGACTGACAACACTGCTTGGGATTAAAGCGCAATCCAGGCAGACAGTACACAAAGTTATTAGCCTACTGAATTTCTTGATAGTTACCAGGCATTTTCATGTATTTATCGAACTGATGTAGTAATACCATTTCAGTGGTATGTTTAGCAAACCAAAAATAAGAGAAATTCATTGTTAGGGTGCACATACAGTACACATTCAAATATTACCTGTTGATCTTTCCAGTAACACTCACTGCACTGTATCTATGGAGAAGCAGCAGTGTCACACTAAGTATGTCAGGACCAGGGGCGGACTGACCATTTGGAAACTCGGGCACTACCCGATGGCCCGGGGTCAGTATGGGGCCCCATAAGATGCCCCTGGTACCTTTTTCATAGGCTTTTTTGAGTTTGGGCAAGGACACAGGGGCCCCATGATCCCCTATTGCCCAGGGGCCCCATGAGTTGTCAGCCCGCCCTTGGTCAGGACTACAGAACAGCCCCCCCTCCCCCTACCTTCATCTATAATGGAGGGGTGGGGTTGTTCTGTACTTCAGAGGCAATCTAAGTAGGAAAATCAGATTGCTTAAGATAACACTGCAGATTGCACAGGACAGCACTGGATTTCTGGTATGAGCAACAGGTATTTTTTTTGCCTTTATCAAACAGCTTTAACAAAACAACAACACACTTGGCATAATTAACACCAAAAAAGGGAGCAAATAAGAAAGTTCATTATTAGGGTTTACATACACTTTAAGTATCCTCACATAGAGATTTAAAATAATATTGGAGCATAATTTGATATTTGTGAAATTATCCTTGGGCATACAACTACTGTGTCCAGTAGTGATGTAGGGTCTGGCGTTTGGATCCACAGCTCTCACATGGGAACCAAGCATCTGACACACCTGGACGGAAGTTGGATGCCATCGGCGACCACAGCTCCTGAACAGAAGGAAGTCGAGAGTCACCACCTGCCAGACAGGTAAGTACAGCTGATCTTTTTTCACAGGATACTTGGACTCAAAAAGTGAAGATCTGCAATGTTATAGGGAACATCTTGAAATATTAATTGTGCCTAAACAGTGCCGTTTTTATCTTGGACATGTTCTGAAAATTAGCATGGCACTTCCTGGTATGTGTGCCTAGGAACTCCTGTTCAACCTCAATGTTTGTACACTGTATACTGTATCTTCAGTGTGAGAGTTCAGGTTTACACTAACCCGATGTTTTAACCGTATTGGGCCATAGTTCACCCCCTTAGTTCAGCTACGTTTTGTAGTGTGAGTGATCCAAACTGTGCCTGGACTGCTTGTAAGACGTGTTCTGGGCAGTGGTGTCACTAGGGTTGGTGCCACCTGGTGTGGTAAAACATGATGTCACCCCCTCCTCTCCCCCAATAATTTTTTTCCCATATGCCACTGAGCACTGAGCAGGCTAGCGCAGGGCAGTAGACACTAGGCAGGCTAGTGCATTGGGCTCTCTCCTGTCTAGCCAGCCAGGCTGCCACAGTGTCTTGCAGGCGTTGGGCAGATTAGTTTTGGACCGGCAATGCACAGTCACGGTGCACATCCAAAACCAGCCCCTGTAAATGTTGCAGTCGATGTGCTGTCACGGATGGGGGTGACAGTTACAGCATCGTGCGTGGATATCATTTCCTACTTAAAATAAACTTATATATAAATATATATATAAAATCGAGCGCAGTATGAGGATGTAGATAGGGTAGCTGCTGGCACTAAAAGGCACCTCGTGAACCTCCAGAGTAATGGTAAAATATGAAAGTGCAGCGCTAACTTAAACAATGATTACACATAAGATAGATCCCATATGAATGTGGATCGGCAAAAAAGACGGCGTCAGTTCATCAGATGTGCTAAATACGTATACAGTCTCCAACACTTGAAGAGCCAGGGATAGTAGATATCAGAAATGATAAAGAAAAGCCAAGTAATGCACTGACCAGATAGCGCAAGTTAAAGCGCATGGGACATTTAAGACCTGTCCCTGGTACTCAGCCACTGTATCACTGGAGCAAGGCGGTGTCATCTATAGGGTGACCACTAGATGTCATCTGTCCGGATGGAAGCTGTGTCCAGCCACTGTGTTGATGGATCAGGTGGGTGTTGTCTGTAGGGTGACCACTAGATGTCATCGGTTCCAGGAGAAGCTGTATCACGGATCCAGGGATGTCACTGCAGATGTGTTCTTGTTAGGCACAATCCCAGGACCTACTGGATTTACAGGCTCCCCAGAAATAAAGAGCCCGTGGAAAAAGGCCTCAAATAGTGTGATAACGTTTATTTAAAATTGAACAATCAGAAAAGAACTTACTTAGCAAAGGTACAGCTGCTTATAAACGGCCAGACCGGAGGTACATGTACATAAGATAAACATAGCTTGGCACTTCCCTAACGCGTATCGTGTAAGTACACATCATCAGAGGGGACTGTGCCAGTGTTAAGTGTGGTGTTTTAAACCTAAAAAGGCGCCAAAAACACCGCAATGCGGCGGCACCGTTATTGCCGGTTCGCGCATGCGCAGTAGCGATCAG